GAGAACATGACGACTAAACACTATATTTTTATACGAATAATAGAAAACATTATTTGATAAAAATTTCAACATATTAAAACAAACCTTTGGTAAACTACATTTTTTTTATATATTAAATATGTTGAATTCTCTATTTCAATAAATTTAATTTGTTCGGTAACTATTTTTACGAATTTATTCGACTAGTTACCCAACTTTATTTATGGAAGGAATAAAAATTTCAAAAATATGTCGCAACAAATCAAGGCAAAGAAAAGAATATAAGATTTTCACTATCAGATATGGTTCAGTCAGGACTTATGTGTAGGAGCGGCCAACACTTGAAAAAAAATGTTTATAACTCATCAATAATATAAGAACCTCTTATCACAACAGAAAAAGAGCAAGAAATTCTTATAAAATGAACGTCAGATAGGATCTTTGCATACACACATGAGAGAAAAGCAAATAATTCTTATTAATTGTGAAAAAATGAGAGTTTGCGATACCTACGACAGAAAATTAGAAGATTTTTCTAAATTATTAACGAGACAGGAGATTCAAATAATTACGGCACAAAACTAGAAGAATTTTATAGTTTATAAATGGCACAAAATCTACATATAGCTATAGCATAAAAGAACGAAAGTCTCATACATTACAAAGCCATAGGATACTTTTACAACAACAACACAAAAAAAAACAAAGTTTTTAAATTATCAATGAGATAGAGCATTCCTATGACTGCGCCAGAGAAGCAGAAAATTGTTTTTGATTGTGACGCAGATAGTGTTCTTTAACAATTATGAGAGAAAATGAATAAATAAATTTTTCCAAACTATAAATGACATAGCACATTCCTTTAAATACAACAGAGTAGAAAAAGACTTTTTCAAATTATAAATAAGAGTATATTTTTATAACTACAACGCAGAACAAGAAAAAAATTATAAATTACAAGTGACATAAGATATTCCTCGAACAACAAGGGAAAAGCAGCAAAATTTTAAAAATTAAAAATGAGATACGACATTCCATTAGAAGAAGAAGAAGACGAAGAAGAAGAAGAATACCCCGCCTTTTGACTACCTTGCGGTATAGTGTGACAATAGGCACTATCGTAGACATACATGTATGTGCGTATGCTTATCAGGGATGATTTTGCCCATTTGGATGTCATACTTAGTTTACATTGCGTTATTGTGATGTAATTAGTGTGATGGACTAATTCTTGTCCTTGTTCTGTTCAGCAAAATCTGTCTTATTTGTTTTGGTGTAACTTTCATTGTTCGCTCTTTATCTCTCTCTCTCTCTCTCTATATATATATATATATTTTTTTTTTCTTCTGTTCTCTTTTCTTCTCTTGTGTTATCGAGTGATATAATGTATCACTATATAAAGGAAGGAAAAAAGAAGAATAGGGACAGACTATAGGATGGAATAGTGAAGATAACATCGATGATATACTGAATATATATGGGTAGCACTGTTCTTCCAGTTTGTCCATTGTGATCACAGTTAGAATAAATGAATAAAAGAAATGCTGCAGCTATAATATCATAATTCTATTTATCATTCATTCATTTTTATTATGTTACAACTGGCGACCCTGGCAGGAGAATTACGCAAACTCTTTATTTTTTTTATTATGTTACATATAGGATGCTGTCCACGGACAGTTTCGAGAAGCCCAATATTTTCCTACATCTATTACTAAATATAGCTCTGGACAGAAGGCCGACCTGACTCAGAGTTCCTCTCGCTTAATTTCTTAAGCTCCCCATACATACTGCCTAACCACATGTTAGTCACAAGGACCATTTAGTGTATGTCAACAACGTAGTCAATTTGTTATCGGATGGGTGGCTCGAGACAAAACAGCCGTTAATGACTTGTCTAAGATCATTCTATGACTGATGGATCCGAGGTTCGAACACATTATCTTGTGGATATGTGTCAAACAACTTAACCATTCAGCCATAGCGGCTTCATTCCATTAACTAAAGCACAAAAGCAGAAATCGCTATCAAATGTGAATACGACATGTTACTCCAATACATATGGCAGAAAGAAGAAAATTTTTTTAAATTATAAATGAGACTACATAAAACATTTTTTAGAACTATGAGACAAAAACAGCAAAATTTTAAAGTCACATATGAGATGAGACATTTCTTTTTATTGTGACAAGTCAACACAGTTGTATTATTTATATAGGAGTGAATTGCAAATTTTTGATGCAACTGACACAAAAAGAATAAAAATGAAAATGAATCTAAACAAGTTTTAAGTAGTGCATTTTATTATGCTATATGCCTGTAGTATATAGCAAAATCTTCTCATCATTTTATCGAGTATTAAGCGAGATACACGATATATACTTCAGTTTCTGCTAAATTCAATGTTGAAATCTTCTTTGTGCAGAGAAAAACACTTGAGTCATATTATTACTATAACAAAGAAAATTAGTAGCTACAAATATTTCATAATCTACACATTTTTCTTGCTGCACTCTGTGGAGTTTATTTCTACCTGAGCAGACTATTTGCGAATATATTTAACTGGACATATTTCCATGAAAATCGTCACTCTGCATTTTCAGTGTATGGTAAATTTATTTTGTAAGATATATTTCTAAGAGCTGAAAATTTTCTCATTTATGTAACTTTTTGTTTGATACCTAATGTAAAAAATTCAGTCAAATAGAACATACTGTTACAGAGTTATTGAATAGACAATTTTCAAATCATCACTGCACGAAGTGAGTATAATGACGTTTTTTTTTCTCAAAAGTTCTTCTATTTTCGACACGAAATAAAGTTGGTAAGTAAGAAATTTTTTATGAATTTGTGAGATAAAGAGCTCTCTTTCTTTTTATAGGGTCGAAAAACCGTTAACTCTATAGGTGAACACATAAAAAACGAATAAAATTTAAATGAACAGCATATTTCGATAGAGCTTCGAATGTTCTACAAATTAGCCTATTTTTATTCTTTTTCTTTTATGTTATTATAGGGTGCGGTGTCGATGTGGGTTTGGGTGTGGGCGTAATTGAGAATAATATCCATACCCACACCTACACCCTTTTCGTTTCTCAACATGTTTTGCTCTTTCAGGTTCGTATTCTTCACCAGACGCACATCCCATCATTTTTCTTTTTATGCATTTAGACTGCTCGTGCTTTGTGTTCTCTCTTGTTGTCAATATTCTTCTCATATTTAGTCTGTAAAAAGTCACTAAATTTTCCTCTAGTAATTCATCATTATTGTTTAGACACAATTCTTTATTTACGAATAAAACAAAATAATGATAAACAAAATAAAATCATCAGCGATTTTTGAACATGCTCAACAAAAAACAAAAATAATTCGCCTTTTTTAAAAAAAAATTTCTTCACGATTAGTCATTAAATTTTGCAGCAATGCTGCCATTTAATTTATTAATTTCTCTTCTTCCTATGTCTGTAGCATTCTTTGGAACACTAGATTTAGTTCTAAAAAATCATCCTAATGCGCAAAATGAAATTATAGATAAAATTACTACTCATGGAATAAAAAATTATGATATATTTGCTCCGAAACGCGTTAATGCTGAACGATTGAACGCGTTCCCAGCGTTTCAAATGGCGAGAAAGGTATACAACTCATTTCTCCACTTACTTAAAACGAGTTTCGAAGCCGCAATTTCTGGATGAAAACGAAAAGTATATCGTCTCGCGGCGTTTTTAACCGATTTAGCAGCTGCGAAACGCATTAAACCGGTAAGCATTAACGCATTTCGCAGCATTTAAAATTAAGGAAATTTTTCCCATGGATAATTCATTTTCTATCTTTAATACTACATACAAATAGTACTACCAAACAAGTAAATATTTATTTAAATAAAAACTTTCAAAAGAAAAATTTAATTTTTTTTACTTTCTTTTAAAAATAGTTGAAATCGCTTTTAATCAATTATGAAGAGAAGCTGGTGCAATTTTTGCTATTGGTTTTTTTTGCATTATTTGGTGCATCTCGATTGTTTGTTTCTATTGATAAATGTATGACTATTATCTATAGAGTACCTCAACGAATATTTATTCATGGAAATATGTTAGCATTTGGAGCATTTTTTTTTCTCATTATTACTGACCAATAATGCTTGCATTCAGCTCAGCTCGATCTTTATTAATAAGTAAAATACATGTTGGTAGTAGTCGTTTTAGAACATTTGTTGTTGGAATTGCATTTTCATTACTTTGCATTTATTTTATTTGAACTTATATATTTGTATATACCAAATTAAAAAAATGACATTTAAAGTTACATGATGTGGCGCATTAGTTGCTGCTTCCACACTTGAAATATTAATAATTTTATTTCCATTGTATATACGAACATTTATGGAAAATTACATTGGTAAATTACTCATATGAAATTTATTGTTTTAATGATAAACATCTTATAATGTTCATAAAGGTCAAATTGGTTTTGCTGTTATTCTTCTTCTGTTTTTAGATTATTTTGCTTTAATAATCATTTTTTGAGTGCTGAAATAAATGCTTTTTTTTGACAATTATCAACCATTACTTGATGGATTAGAAACATATTTAAGTAAAATGTATGAAGAATATGGTGCTGATCATCGAAGAAGATGATTAGGACAAGAGAATATTGAAACGAGATCATACAACAGTTGAATTATAAACATCAAAACAAAAACACTGCTAAGTTGAAAAATAAACATAAAGTACGAATCTCGTTTGCAAAATTATAAGTTATCGTTTTTTTTTCTCTTGAACACCAGCTTTTATTCCAGAATGAAATATTTCTGGAAGGCAAGAAGAAGTACCAGTTCCATAAACTCGATTGTTTGTGAAACGAGATAGTGTTGCCATCACAAGAGCGTAATCATTATTCTCTTGATCGAATGTAAAGAAATAACGCTCCTTATACGATGAAGAATTTGCTGCTGCGGCTGCCACTCGAAGATAATCAGATGTGTCAATTTTTGCTGAGGAAATTATGACTTTTCCTTGGTAATCATTAGCAAAAAGATGTTTATCTAAGAAATGAATGACAGCTGAACCAGCTTTAGCAAGTGTTTTTCCCATTCTTGCATCGACTTTCGAATCGATAAAAATAAGAGCAACACTTTGAAGTCTCGCAATATGTTGCAGATGAGTTGTAACATTTTCACTAGCCTTACTACCTGCACAATCTGACTCAACTGTATTACATATATGATCGTCACTGATAGCACAGAAACAGTCACAAATACCACCATGTTCAAATTTAGTAGGATTTCCATTTTTATCAAAATGAAGATCATTTTCAATTGCATTTGCACCTTGTGATATTGCCCAATCAAGAGCTAGTCCACTATTTGCCATATGTGAAATTATGTAAAATGGATTTTTAGTTTTAACTGCTTTTATTATATTGATGAAACAAAACTCCATGAAGAATAACAACAGAATAATGCCTTTCAATGAAAGATATTTCATTATAATTCGTTGATATATGTATCTTGAAAGAAAATTAGAATTTTGAACGTTTGAATATAAATTTCAATTAGAAAACTATAATTTTCATTGTTATCTAGTGACGCTAATTTTTCTTTTTTAAATCTATCCATAAACAGATAAGTAAAGAACTAGAATATATATAATTAAGAGAAGGGAATAAAATATGAATTTTTCTATATAAAGACAATGCTCAGAACAAATTATTTTCTTTTCTATTCTATTAAAACTCTTCAGTATCTCTTTACTTAACTTTTGAGAAAGTTTTAATGTATTGCAACTGTACAAACCTCTAGAATAAACTTTACTATTACACATTTAGTTAATAGATAATGAAATAATATAAAATGATCTATTGTTTAAAAGAAAAATTAAATAATCAACGAAAATCAATTTAAAAATCAATTTCCAAATCAATGATTCCGACTTCACAGTACAGTCAAAATCTTTCAGAAACAGATTATGTTCCATCCGAAACATGATGAAAAGAGAAATCCATTAGAATTTATGTAAATTATGACTGAGTATTTATAGGTTATGGCATCTTTATTTGCCTCCGCCATCTAAAATCATTTTCTCTGACACTTTTCATTAGTAATAGATTCTCTCTTGAAAGTTTAAGTCTCTGAGGTCTCATCATATTTATTTATTTTTAAATAGTTCGACGTATCTCTTTCAGCAATTATCTATCGTGCAATTCAAATAGAATATTATATATGGTGTACTCATATATAGAAAAAACAAAGATTTTTATGAATTAAAAATAAAGTAGATTAAAATGAGTCATTGAATTGAATTTAAATTCTATTAGATGTTCTTATATGTGTACTGTGGACAAGTATCATCAACCTGTAGATTGAAAAGCATTAATCCTATACAACTACAATAAGTAGATGCTAAATCATATCCTCTCGTGTCTTGTCATTGTCATAAAGTGCCGAGACTGTATTTGAGAATCATAACAAAAACAGGTAACCATATTCGAGCATTACTTCTAGTTTCAGAAATTCATATGAATCAGACAGAAATTGATTCATTTTTCTTCATAGTAGATAATGAAGAAAAGAAAAGTATTTACTAAATATATTTAGTTGAAAATCTGTACCACATATGAAATTAACATTAAACAATATAGTTTGACCTATATGATCTTCAAATTTCTAAAATTTATTGAAAAAAGATTGCTTAAAATCTTTTATTTGATGATTCGTTCTTTAATAAATTTTACAAAAGCTGAGAATTTTTTTTATCTATTTTTAAAATCTAAATGTTTGAATCAAAAGAATTTATTAACTTCTTTTCAATACACAGCACATGATATTAATACACTAGATAAGACAAATACTTATGAAAAACTATTCGAATCAATTTCTAATTTTTCTTTCATATTTATACTTAAAAAATGTCAACTAGCAATCTCAGTAATGAGTAAAATTTATAAAATAAAATATATTTTTCACGATCAATCTAAATATACTTAATTCTAAATTGAATACTTACTTGTAAAAGAATATTTTTATTAAAGCCTAATTACTCGTACCTTTTTATATTCTTTAACGAAGTACGATTCGAATGCGTAGAACATAAAAGTGAATCATTTTTTGTAGTTTCTTACGATCTATTATTCATACGCAATATTATAAAGATGATCGATCTTTTCTCATTACAAAAAAAAAATTATTAAACGAAGGTAGGTCACAGAAAACGAAGCGTCCTTTTTGAATTCTCTATTATGTGTATATGTGGGTAGTAGGAAAATGATCATTGAAAAAAACATCACAAGAGGCATCTATTACTTTTAAGTATATGGTTATTATTTTATATATAGGAATAATATGAATCAAACGAAATAGAAAAGTTGAAAGCATTATTTTCTAAATATTTACCATCAAAAAATATAATAAATCAAATAACTTTCTTGGTCATATAAAAATAATTATTTTGAACGTTATTTTTCTATTTTATTGGTGAAGTATTACAATTATTTTAAAATTCATTGTAAATAGTCAAATACTTGAGCTTTATTTAGTCCTAAATTTCAATTGTATACAATATTTTTTTTCTAAATATATAATCAATTTTTTAGAAGATGATAAAATAAAAGATTAAAATAATCTACTTAGCTGATACATAAAATCTTAACAGTTTCTGTTTTTAGATTCACAAGATATAATTATAGTTTTATACGAAATAAGTTATTTTAAAAGTAATAATCACATGATAGATTTTACTAATCAATCAAAAGAATCAATACAATTTTATATCTCAGAATATTCAAAAATTTAGTTTATAATTTCATGACACTAAAATTTCTTCAATTAACTTTTGAAATTAAAAATAAACATCAAAATTTGACTTAAAATAATAGATTAGATCTCTTAATTATGACTATATGAAATGATGAGTGATTGAAGATGGAATTCTCAAAAAATAATATGATTTTCAATAAACTATTTATCTATAAAATATTCGTGATAATTATCATTTCCTATCGAAATTATCAGCTGAATATATTCATCATTATCTAGACGAATATTTAATAAATTGAAATATAATAATGTTAATAAACATAGAAGAAAAAATAATCAAGCGTGAAATAATTAAAATTATCAACATCTATTTATCAGCAAAGATTATTTAACATTATCTTATAAAAGTTAATATTATTAGAAATTTTTCTTTAGAAAATATTAAATAAATATTTGACTTTATATTTAGTAGAATATTTTCATAGAATAGAAAACTTTTCATCTAATTATTATCTTGTAAATTATTTGAATTACACATTATTACACTCTTAACATATTATTCAAATCAGTGTTCGACATGGGGTCACTTTTTTAGTGACCCGACTTGACCCGATCCGAGGAAAAGAATTTTTTCAAAATATGATCCGATCCGAAGGCAATTTTTTTCTATATGTACATATCTGTTGTGCTTAAAGTTCTTCTTTTCGTTCGCCCATCATGCATATCTGTATATATACATATCAGTCGATCGCTTTTCTTTCTTTTAAGAAATTTAATTTGTCAGTTCCTTTGTTTTTATTTTATTGCACATTAAAAACAATAAGGACATGTCTTTGACCTGTTCTCAGTTGTTATGTACCACTGATATTGGATAGGTAGTGAAACAAAATCATCTGATAATACTTCATTGTTT